CCAAAATCAATGTCAAGGAGGGTGCAGGAGGCCTTGCAGGGCTGGATCAAGGGCAATGTAACCAAGAGGAATGCCTAAAACTTACTTCAATTCTTATCTGCCATCTAGCTCTATGTAGTAGCACACACGGAAGTGGCACCCGGGGCAGATGGAGAAATGAAGGAAGAGCAAATGGTGGCTAGTTACTGGAGTGGCTCAAATCCAGGAAGTGAGGAGCAAGGTGTGTCTTGGCTTCTGGTTCTGCCTGTTCTCGATATAAGAAAGAGAAGAGCTGAGATTCTGGGCAAACTTCCAGGCAACTCGCATTTGATTAGAATGTGGGCGTCTCTATTTTGTCCTTCAAATGGCTCACATGAATCAAAACTTAGAAAAGCAATCTAAAGATGGAACAAGGGAGAGTCTTTTAAAAAGTTACGTGGAGCCGGGGGTAAAGTCTGGACCACAATAAAGCATGTAGTAAAATTCCCAGACACACTTATGACGTGTCATGGAGACCACGGTGTGGGGCTAGAGAAGCAATCTTTAAACCATTGTTACGGAAAGTTAGGAACTACAGAATCACTTTTCAGAGCTGGGCAGAGGGGTTCCATGGAAATTCCAGAACCTGGATGCATCTCAATGTGATTTTTGTGCTCTGTCCAAAAAATTGTGATAAAATGTTCAAACAAACCATCGTCTGTGGCTGAATTACAAACCACCCCCAATCAATGCCTGACAAACAGGTTTTCAAGGCTGTGATCTCGCTGAGAGGAACATGTTCATGTTGTTGCTTACACGTCCACTGAAATATATCAGGTCATTAATCTGCTGCCATGTCTTCTCAAGAGCACTGTGAGAGTGAGTATCTAGGAGCCCTGGTAGCGCTCTCGGGTAAGTGTCGGGCCTCTACCTTCAGGGTCCTTGTTCATGGAGAATGATGCGGGTCTGCGCGTGTGAAGTTACCGCCTCAGAAAGCCTGCATGGGTGCCTTGGAATTGACTCAATGGCAGTGAGTTTTAAGATGAGAGCAAAACTGACAAACATATAAACGACTTCCAACCTAATGAAGCCTATCCTCCTACAGCCCTGAACTAGAGACCTACTGAAAGAGCAAACATGCCATTCAGCACCTCCTGTGCGTTTGACAGAGTCCCCACTGTCAGACTTATGTGATGTTTTCTTCCTTCAAGGATGTGCGATTCAATAACAGACAAGTCTCACACACAGAATATAATAATAAACATCTCGACATCGATCTTCATTGCTCCTAGGGATGTAGAGAGTAAACAAAGTACTTTAAAACTCACTGAGGGAAATGAACTAGAGTAGTCACAGAAAGTTTTTTAGAGGAGATGAGCATTTAACATGGACATGGCAGGTAGACATCACAGTCACAAGTGTAGAATAAGGTGTGTGACGTGGGGCAGGCATGGAGAAAGGGGGCAGTCGAGAGGATAAGAGAGAGGAAAAGAATAAATGTGGATTCTGGTTTCTACAGAACTGTAAGTAGAGAGGAATTTCTTTCTGTGTCTCCAGGCTTTAAAACTAGGAAGAGACAGTGGTCTTCTTTGGGCTCTGAAGAGGACCTGGCAGGAGGTGGAGATGGTCCCGGAATGCTGGGTTTATTCCTGAAGCCTGCCCAACCCCTCATTAGATGAGGCCTGGCTATCAGCCTGGTACAGCAGGAGAAGCCAGGTTTCCCTCCATGGAATACCCCGTTTTAACTAGCTCATCCATAAGTGTCAAGGGAATGATACAGGACTCATAGAAACCAAGTCACTGAATAAGCAGAGCTTTCCAGTACCCGAAGTCACTTAGATGCCTACAGGAGGGCAACTGCATGATCAAAAGAGCTGACCTTGGGAATCTAAAAGAGACACCTGTGTGCACCTGTTGACTCTCCTGTCAACTTGTGAAAATGTGGAGTCTAGCCTGTCAATCAGGTCATAACCAATGAGGCCTCTGTGTGGGCGTGGCCTTCTCCTGAGGATTCTGGGAAATCTTATCTTCCTCCCTGGAGGTGGAACCCACACTCTCTTTTCTTGACATTCCTGTTGACAAGCCACATGGAGCTACACTGATGGAGCCAGAGCCCTGGAGCTGGAGGAGCCACATGGAGACCCACACCTGTGTTGAGACGCTTCCACAAGACATTATGAACTGGCCTGTAATCTTCCTGCTTTTGGTATGATTGCATGTCACCTGATTAATAAGAGTTGCAAAATTATAGTTATGAAGTAGCAACAAAAATAACTTTATGGTTGAGGGGTCACCACACTATGAGGAACTGTATTAAAGGGTCGCGGCATTAGGAGGTTGAGAACCACAGCCTTAGAGGAATTATGTTGACCTCTTTCTATTCCTGTAAATCCCTCAAACTGTAGCTGAATTTACAATTGC